ATTCCATGGCTGGCTGGGGAATTCTGGGAGTTGAAGTCCTGCCCTCTTAAAGTTGTTGAGGTTAAGAAACACTGATTTAGAAAGAATGGGGCCTTTTCCTTCCAAACGGTTGCTTTCTTCATCTGCATCCTGCAGCTGCCTCTATAATAAGTGAATGTATAAGGACACTGATTGTTCAAAGCTCCACCAGTTTTTTATATGTCACACATCTTGATTTTTTTGACCACACCCTGCAGACCTTCCTGGAACAGTCATAAAGTATTAATTTACTATGCCAGTTACAAGAGAAACAGGCCAGTACAAAATCCTTGATTTGTTACACGTTGCGCAGGAGAATATTTCTTCTCTTTCACTTTCAACTTCTATTTTCCAAGCAACAAATACTGTACTGCCATTAATGGATCAAGTAAAAGTCTATTGGGAGTTTCCCCAGATTGTTTTTGGACCACATTATTTTGTGAGTTGCTGGGAGGGGTGAGATAGATAATGGGGAAGGTGGGGATTTTCTATAATTTGGTGGGGGATTTTTTTTTAAAAAAATTGGCCAAATATAGTTTTCTTTTCACTGTGTCAAGCCTATTCTAGGGTATCCGCTATGGTGTGTGTTATATGTAGAAAACCACACCATTCATCTTAGAAGGGGTGGGGGGTGCAAAAGAGAGAGAGAAAAAAAATTGGGGGGCCCTTTTCTGGTTCTTGGGCCATGAGTTTCCTACCTCTATTTTAAGAATGATCGATAGCAATTGTCAAGTTGTCCATTGTAATGAGATATTTATGTTACTGGCCATTTACTAACTTCTTTTGAGAAATCAACCATAACCATATCAGGAATTCTAAGGCTTTAAAACTGCTTGTTAAGATACCAGGAGGTCGAGGAGGAAATCTCCCCCCCCCTTTTTTTCTTTTTTAAGGAGCAGCTGTGGGGGATGAACTTTTTTCTCTTCTGCCCCCCTTTCCCAGTTTCAATTCCCTGCACTGTTTCCTCAGGAGAGTGCTGGTGGAGTATACATAAGTGCCTCTATGCTATGCCAAGTGTAAGTTTGGCATGTTCCATGAGGAAAATAATCCTTTGGTGTAAGAAAAAAAAAAAGAGATTAATGACTTCATTTTCTCTTTCTTTATAGTTCTTTCTAATTCTAATGAAATCACAAAAGAGTGGATCACAGAGACTTCTTGCTGTCTCTACTAACTTGGTCACTCTTGAGAAATGCAATATCTGAGCAATGTGTGAATCGTGCAGATTCACATTCATCACTACTTAGATGCAGATGTCTCCGTACAGGACATCAGGGTTAGAGAGGGAGGGACAGACGTTAGGGTGACTGGGTGAGTGCTGACACGCACCTCTTGTTTTTGGCAGAGCTTCATGCAGCCGGGGAACTGCCTACACTGTCTTTTCTCTCCTGGGGGTCTTGCTCCTTGCTGGCCAGGCTGTGACTGTCTACTTTGTGTATCAACATGACAACCAGATCTCCAAACTGACCAAGAGCACTCAGCAACTGAAGTTGGACTCGCTGACCAGCAGCATCTCTAAAAGTTAGTCACCCACCCACCCTTTTACTTTCACTTTCAAATGCAGAGCATAAAGACGATGGACGGCCCTTAGACAAGGTTTACTTGTGGCATCTTGTTTGCAGTTGCACAGGCTAGTCACAGCCTCTTTATTTAATCCTGCTTGAAAAAGCTATCCAATAGGGAAAGGGAGTTTGAAAGTAATTTGCAGTTGAGTACGAGGGACGGGGTTTCCTATTCAAAGAAGACAAGCCAAAATATCTACTGGGCACAAGCACAGGCACAATGTAAGCATATGTCCTTGTCATGCTTCAGAAGTTTGTCTGGATTATAGCCAGGGACTCAAGTGCAAAATAATGCCTTATGTCCCTGGTTTGATGCAGCTATAAGAGAAGAAGGCCCTTGTGAATGATCTCATGCTTGTATCTTTCTGTATGTATGTTACGAATCTCTTTCTTCCTACAGATGTGAAGTCAAGCCCAAAGATGGCAATAGCCAACGTGATGCCTTTGGCCCTGAATGAACCAGAGGTAAATAAGACACAAAGTGAAGGCAACTGCTCCCTTCCATGGCTTAAAGTTGTCCATGTATGTTGGGCTCCTATCATCCTGAGCTAGTTCAGTAGGCAGTTCTGCAAATTCTGAAAAACTGACTAGTTATAAAAGTTCACCTTTTACAGCAATTCAACCATGGGTCTTGCGGTGCTGCCAAGACAACACATTTATATTTGTACAAACTTTCATGGATCATGGTTAGAACTGTTACACACAATTTAGAATTGCTTAGAATTTTACACACAATTCTGTTTAGAATTGTTGCACACAAAGTGAGGCACAATTATGTTTAAATGGCCTCCTCCCTCCCTCACAGGCCAGAGTGAATCCTGTAATGCAGGATTGTTAGTGAGGGATATTGAACAAGCCAAGCATGAGACCAACACCTCAAATTAGCAGAACTCAATTTTATTGAAGAGGTTATTATTTTATTAATAATGTCCATTACTGATATTCACACACAATCCTTTGTACAGCAGAAGATGTCTTCCTTCAGGATATCATGGACTTTTTCAGAGCTCAGACCTCTGACAATGCACTTGTGGCCTCCAATGTCTTTCCTGGTGTCAGTCTGCTTAGTTTTCCAAAGGTCTCGTGGCACTACTCTTCATATCACTAGTCTTCTGTAACTTTACAGAAAGAAAGTATTAAGAAAATACTTCAGTTAACATACAACAAGCTCTTGCACAGAGGTTTCCGTCTTTCTGTTATCTCCATCTTGGATCCTTCTGATTTTCAGCTTTCAAGTTGACCCCATTTCCGAAAGCGTCATTCCTTTGTTTGCAACTTGACAACCTTATACTTGCCCTTTCTTTGCCTCTCTAAAATGTCCTACTCACTCTTCTTTCATGATCTAAAGATCTTACATCTCATTTAAGTGGTAATCAATGGATATGGTAATAATGATAAATATTTGTCAAAGCGGATGTTAGAATAAACTAGGCAGCAACATAGACACTAGTAAGTTTTGTGTAGGTGAACCACCTAGTCCACAAAATCTTTAAAGTGTTACCAGATTCTTTGATCTGTTAACCAGTACAGTGAAGTGCCAAGATTGAATCTGTTCAGATCTTTCGTATTTTGTTCCATGAATTTATTCTGTATCACCATATGAAAAGATGCTGGCTAGGAATTCTGGGAGTTGTAGTCTGATACATATGGAGGAAGGCAGCTCAGAGAAAAGCTGCCTTGCAGAAGTGATCAGAGAGTGATGCCAGAGGCCCCAATTTGTTTAGGAGTCCTTAGATGGAAGCTCTAATTCATGGAATGGATCTAGACCATAAATTGGTGCTTACTTTGTACCACCCACCCGCTCCTCAGCTTTCCAAGACACTCTACAGTGCTCAGCTTACCTCTATCTTTTTGTAGGCAATTGAGCACACTACAGAACAAATCACTGGGTTGTCATCCCTATCAAGTACATTTTTATAGGCATACTGGTGTCTGCAGATGCAGACTGGGTATCCAGTGTGTGCGTGCCTTTGAGCCAGTCTTGACTCCTGGCCACTTCCTGGAAATGTCCCTGCATTTTTCTTGGCAAGGTTTTTCAGAAGTGCCCTTGCCTGCTTCCTAGGCCTGAGAGAGAGGGACTGGGCCAAAGTCACCCAGCTGGCTTCATGCCTAAGGCAGGACTAGAACTCATGATCTCCCAGTTTTTTGCCCAGTGTCTTTAACCACTCAAGCTCAGATACTTTGGTCACCTAATGCGAAGAGAGGACTCT